TCAGGGGAGGGAATGCCTGCGCATCTGACCTCCTCCCACAAGAAAACACTTCTTTCTGGTACCCTCTGCTCTGAGCCAAGGCCGAGCTGATGTCAGCAACGATAGCCCTCATTCTGTGTCCTCTTCTGAATCTAGCTGGAATTCCTGGCAGCTCCCTGTCAATGGACAACTGTTAATCATCTCCAGCAAATTTATACTTGTGTGTGATATTAATGATATTGTTTGATAAGCCCCACGCTCTTTTTGGTCACTTTTCTATGGAATGGAGCACAAATATGGACCTCTTTCAGTTAGTTGGCCAGGTAGCTGCCTTTCAACATGGATGAGTGAGCGCCTCCAGTATTTTGTTGAAAGATTTCAACTGGCATTCCGTTAATTCCTGGAGCCTTGTTTTAGGCCATGGCCTTCAATCTAGTGTACCTTTTTCCTTCATGGTTGTTCTGGATCATGTACTATCTCTTGGAATGCGCCAACGTGAGAAATTATTTTTGGCACAGTGACTGTGTATTCCTTCCACCTTCTTTTGATGCTCCCTGTGTCGTGTACCATTGTGCCCATAGGATCCTCCAATACTACAACCCAAGACTTAACTCTTTCTTTAGTTCTTTCAGCATGGGAAATGTTCTCTCCTTCTGGTTTCCTTACTCTTCCACGTTTCATTATCATTCTTTACTTTGTCCTCTGGAACTGCCCTTTGAAATTTCCTGTTCAGCTTTTCTTTCTTTTTTTAATAAATGATTTTATTGGGACTCTCACAACCTTTATAACAACCCACATCAATTGTATCAAGTACATGTGTACATATGTTGCCATCATCATTTCCAAAATATTTTCTACTTGAGCCCTTGTTATCAGCTCCTCTTTTGTCCCCTCACTCATGAACCCTTGGTAAATGATAAATTATTATTATTTTCATATCTTACAACATCCGCTATCTCCCACGTTTCTGTTGTTCATCCCCCTCAGGGGGCAGCAGGGAGGTTCTACATCAATCATTGCAATAGGCTCCCCCTTTAGCACCTCCCATAATGTTCCTGAATTCCGTGTGTAGCGAGCTCTTATCTGTACCAGTGCACATGTGTTCATCTTTTTAATGTCACTTTTTCAAGCTGTTTCTGCTTTGATGTACCAGACCTGGTGGCATAGTGGTGCCCGTTGGGCTGCTCATCTGCAAGTCAACAGTTTGAAACCACCAGCCACTCCTTGGAAGAAAGATAAGGCTTTCTACTCCCATAAAGAGTGACAGTCTCAGAAACGTCCAAGGGCAATTCTACTCTGTCCTATAGGGTTGCTATGAGTTGGTATCCACTTGATGGCAACGAGTTTGGTTTGGGCTTATATCCGTAGAGCAAGTTTAATCATTTCTTCTGACGTTCATTTTGGTCTTTTCTTTCTCATCTTTTAAATCACCTTTCAGCTTCTTTACATATGATATTTATGTCTTTCCACAACTTCCCTGGTCTTTGATCATTAGTGCCAATGCATCAACTCTATTTTTGAGGTTGTCTCTAAATTCAGAAGGGATTTACTCTGGGTGGTTTTTGGTTTTGTTTTGTTTTTTGTCTCTTGTGAACTTTTAATTTCCTTCAGCTTCAATTTGAACTTGTACATAAGCAATTGATGGCCCATTTCACAGTCGGCCCCAGGCCTTGTTCTGACTGATGATAATGAGATTCTTTGACCCTTTCTACTGATGTAGTCAATTTGATCTGTGTGTATTCCATCTGGTGAGGTTCATGTGTATAATTTCTGTTTATGTGGTAGGGAAAAAATATAATAAAGAAGTTGCTGGTCTTACAAATTTCTATCATGCAATCCCCAGCTTCATTTCTATCACCAGACCATATATTCCAACTCCTAATCTTCCTTGCTTCCAATTTCCCCGTCCTGATCACCAATAATTATTAATGCAATTTGATGGCCTGTTTGATCAACTTCAGACTGCAGAAATTGGTCGAATTCTTCAGTTTCTTTACCAATGGCTTTAGTGATCGATGCATACATTTGAATAAGTTGCACTAACAGGCCTTGTAGAGGTATGG